AGTTTGGCCGGGGCCAGGTTTGAACCGGCCACACTCGGTATATGGGGCCTGTGCCCTACTCACCAAGCCACAGGCGCCGCCCTATTGAAATTATTTTTATCAGGGTTTTTCTAGGGAAAGGGTTTATACTTCATTAGGTCCTTGTGGCAGGGAAAAAAAAAATCCCTGCCGCTCATAAAGACATGACCTGCTAAGTTTGCTTCCACTGACCAGCTGTGTGACCACTGACAAGTTGCCTGACCTCCACTCCTGTACCCTGGTGGCAATAATCTATACCTTGCAAGTTTAAATAAATAAACCTATCCCTGTGTGAGGAACAATTTAGGCTCAGTTAGTAATAGCTATTACTCCTTGAATAAATGATCATCCATCTTCTGATTGAAAACCTTCAGGGATAGAAACTCCACTTCCATGAAGAAGCTCACTCCACTGTGGAACAGCTCAACAGACCAGGAAGTTCTGTACAACGAGCTGGCCGGCCTCACTGCAGATGCTGCCTGCCCGCCTGCTGACCCCTGGGCCTTTCTCTTTGGCAGCCACAGAGAGCCTCCCACGAGAGGGTGATCTGCATATATAAGCGCTCATTCTCAAGAAGGGAAGAGAAAGGCCAGCTAAGGTTTGGGACAGGCCCCAGCTCTAGATTCTATGGCTATGACATTTTTGAAATGTTTGATATGTGCCTTGAGATAGGTGGCAGTGTATACGGCATTAACACATTAATAGTACTTGCAAGTATATTCCATAAAGCAAAATCTGGTCTTAAAGATGAATTGCTTATAGGTTTTCAGTTGAACTGAATTTGATTATTTTTAAGTTTCTTTTTATGCTTATTTGTCTTTAATTAGTGTTTTAGCACATAATACTTATTTGTTTATTTAAAAATCAGCATGGGGCTCAGCACCTGTGGCTCAGGTGGCTAAGGCGCAAGCCACATACACCTAAGGTGGCAGGTTCGAGTCCCCAGCCCAGGCCCACCAAGCAACAATGATGGCTGCAACCAAAAAATGGCCAGGTGTTGTGGCGGGTGCCTGTAGTCCTAGCTACTTGGGAGGCTGAGGCAGGAGACTTGCTTGAGCCCAGGAGTTGGAGGTTGCTATGAGCTGTGACAGCTTGCCCTGGAGTCCAGCAGTGGGCCTGAGGTCCCTGCTCCAAACGGGGACACCCACAGGTGCCATGTGGTGTGTGACAGATAAAACGACAT